ACAGGCACCTGGTGAATCTCTTCTAAATGAATGTACAGGATGCAACATAAATCAACAGTCCTGACCAAACTCCACATGTACTTTCACAGCTAGTAGACAACATATAGTAACAATTCTAGTACAACGTAGCAAAATCTCAACACGACCTAACATCTTGAGAGAAGATAACAGGCTCAGAAATAGAGTCTCACCAAATTCAATTCCAACCATTCTTACAGAACTAGAACACGGACCAACAAATTACAATGTAAATATGCAAATACCCACAGAAAACATGACATTTGAACAGATAGGAAGACATTAGCCATGACACCTCTTATTTTAGATGAACTAATTATAATCACAAACCAAATACAAAATAAAATCAACTTTGAGATATATATAAATGGATCCATGATACACCACTCCAACCAATTTTACATGGGCTTCAGATAAATAATAATAACTAGGAATAACCAAGAACTTTATTTTCAAGGACAAATAGAAAACTTTTCCTCATTGACAAGAGCAGAATTAATGGCTATCCTAATAGTAATCAGCACACTACCCACATATAGTAGAGCCAATATCTATACAGACAGCCAGACAGCAATAAACAGTATTTAAAAAGTAATAGGAATAAACCATATACATAATCTGAGAAAGTAGAAAATTCTGAGGATTCTCCAACTACTCAAAAACATAGTTCTAGGCAACTACCTGAAAATTGACCTAATCAAAGTCAAGCCCACACAGATAACAAGTACAATGAACAAGCAGACAAATTAGTAACAATAAATATATATCATAGTATAGTACCAGGGTATAGAACAATCAATATTCATCCTATAAAAAATCCACAATTAATGCTACTTCCCTAATGGGACAACAACACACTTGAAGTCCCCATCAAAACTATGGCCAAAAAACTGACAAAGATAACATACCTAGTTAGATGGAGACTATTAAATAAAACAAGAATTGAGTTCAGCGACTGAATCATCAAACATATACATTGGCCTACAACAATGTCCAATTTGCAATCAACCAGAATGAGCAAATAACAAACTAATGGAAAAAATCAACAACAAAGGAAATTCAACCTATGCCTTTAGAATGAAGAACTCTTAACAAAAACTAAACTCTATCAGAGACTTCTGAACTTGTACAGATATGACAAATGCATAACCCACAGATCTAAAGAAACAAACATATATCCATTTATGTGTCAAGATCAATGACAAAAAACAGAAGAATATATAAGGAATACAATCATCAACAAAGCCAGATAATACAGAGATAAAAAATACAGAAACACAGATTAACAATTATCTAAAAAATAATTCTCTGCAGTATACGGAATACCTCAAATGTATCATCAAAGGAGGTATACTCAATGAAATATACAACCTAATAACCAGATGTGTACCAAATAAACAACAAAAGAAAAAATGCATAAAAGAAATCAAAAAAGAAATTAATGAATACCTCTACAACATCTGGACTCAAAGATGTGAAGAATTCCAAAAATGGAAAAAAATACAAGGTATCACACGAAAAATTGAAAGAACAGCTAGATACAGCTCAACACAATGGAAAAACACATAAAAAGTCAATATATAGACCTGGTAAATAATTATATAGGACAATATATAAAGAACATTATACACTCCTCCCACATATTTACAATTTTATATAGCACTAGCCCAGCCTTGGCTGGTTAGCTCCCACTAGGGTGGCAACAGGTCATGAGGTGAGTCTTTCTCTATCGAACTAGTTTGGTTAACATAGGTAGTTTTAGCATAAATAATATGTACATCTCTACTTAATCCAAATAAAGTAAGGCTGAGCCAGCGTTAAAAAAAAAAAAAAAAAATTGTGGTTATAGTTCAGAACTTATTATTTGATTGAGATTTATGTTCAAAAAGTTGTAGGTGATCATTGATTGTGACTTCAATATTATTAAGGATTTCTTTGATGTTAACATTAACCAGTTGTTTGAATTTAGGAGGAAAGTGGTATGATATAATTGAAACTATGGTCCTGTCAAGAGGTATCAGATTAATATTTAATTCTAATTCTCTTAAATTGTTCAAAAGTGGTTTTCTTTTTGTGTCATACAAATCTTGTGCTAATTAAAGAAGATTCTTTTAGGCAAGGTCGATTAGGGAAGGTGCAAATGATGAGTTGAGTTTCTAACTGATTAAGTATATAATAATTTCCTTTAATGATCTCCGGAACTTTATAATTCTTTTGGGTTTTTAGAAAGACAAGTTCAATGTTATCTTTGAAACATCAGAATAAGAGTTGGGATTGTGAAGGAGAAGTGAGTTTTCTGTGGTGGATTGTAAAATATTGCAAAGTTTGATAATTCATTTTGATACGGATCCTGTGTTTACCTTTCCCATTTTTGTTTAGAATTCGTCCTATATGTTGAATTTCTGACTGTCATACATTAGATATTGCCTAATTGTTTTAATGTTATATCTGTAAAGGTATAAAGTGGAAGTTTTATGTAACGAATAATTGGCCACAAAATACTAGGTTCAACCAACAATGATAACTTTCACAATCGTGTTGATAATGTTTGTGGTCTAAGCGAGGTTGGATTACTTAACACAGGATTGGTGCTCAATTTAAATTATGAAAGTTGAGCATATATCCGAAGATTCTATGCCAAAGCCATTTCTTCACCTCCTTTCATGAGACAGGCGTTGGTTTGCGTGCAAAATGGATTTCAGAGGATGGGTATTATTGGGGAAAACTTGAGAAAGATGTGGAGTTAGAGTTACCCTGTTGGATTAAAAGATATTTTATGGAAACAACCTTCCTCATTACGACAGCAAATCCGTATGTACCTTGTCCAACTATTATAACACCATATCACAAAACAAAGAAACCAATATTCACGGTAGCTTAATAAAGGAAAGCGATGAATTTTTAAGGTGCATAATTGGTTACCAAATTCTATAATTTGGCTTTCCATGATCCCAAAATTTGTTAGAGATTTACCTGGAATTAGTCACTACACTAACAAAACAAGAAGCAAGTTGAATGGTTGAAGAGCAGCCTTCTTACTATTGTTAAGACTCGAAGAGAGGAGATTGATGGGAAGCCAGACGAAGAGCTAGCCCCAGACATGTTGAAAATGTTTCTAGCATTGGATACATCACGCGATATAACAAAAGGGGTTACGGATGGTTTGAATTATCAACCAATGTCTGATGTAGAAATTTCATTAAATCTCATTGAAATAATAACCGCAGGAATTGATACGGTATGGCATACATGTGTATATACTTTTGCACTTCGGATTCTTATTAAATAACTTGATTCCCCAAACCATAACCTAGTCAGCAAATTCTGTTGCTACGCGATTTACATGATATCTAAATATCCTCATGTAAAGGAAAAATTTCTTAAAGAATTGGATACTGTACTTGGACGAGGTCAAAATTTCCAAATACGTAACTTAAGAAGGAATCAATAAATTGGTTTATTGTGAGGCAGACATCAAGGAAGGTAATAATGCATTCAAAAATATGCATTCGGATGAAACTCCAGTTTAATCATTATCTTACGCATTTTGTTAACCAGCTTCTAGAATATTCTGCCCTTTACCAATGATCGTTCGAAGAAATGGGAAATCTGATGAGATCAATGGTCACACTTTTCCAGAAAACACCGAGTTCTTTGTGTATCTCGAAGGGATTCATAAATATAGATCTAATTGAACAGATTCAGATGTATTCAACCCCAATAGATTCATCGACGAATCACACCCGGATTATAAGAAAGAAGTTTACATGTTTGGGGGCGGGTCACGAAAGTGTAAGTAACGTATGCTAAATTCTTTTTGATGTTAAAATAATCCCGGACAAATAAGTATTTTTTTTTTTTTTTTTTTGTAAATAGGCCCCGGAAGAAATTTGGGAAGATTTCAATTGAAAGCCACGTTGGCCTTAATTTACA